GACACATTCCCACACTCCTATGACCCTCCCAACAGATCTCCACACTTCTCCAAGGTCCCCTGTCCATGTTCCAACCAACTCCACTCAACTCCACCCTCAGGCTGGTCATGTGGAGGCCAGACCTTCATCTGTGCCTCCTCCAAGGCCTTGGTTGGCTCAGTGGGCTGTCAGACTTGTGGCCCTGCATTCCAGATAGGGTTCTGCCCTCATGTCAGTTTTTCTCCATTCTTCCACTCCTTCAGTATTTACCCTCTTTCCCTGGTTGTAGTAGTTTCCTTTTCTCAGTTAAGGTCCCCATCATCCCTATCCTCTATCCCTTGTGTTGGAGGGACTTCTAACCTGTTATACACTTATTGGTTTGCATTCTACACTGCACTGCCCTTGACCTACATCATATATAAGGCCATGTAGTACTCTGATGTAATCAGTACAAATATTGAATAAAGTCCCCACTTCTGACTCCTCTGAGTTCCCCCCAGAGTTTCATCTCCACTCCCTCTGAGTCTGCTCTACCTCTGAAATATGAGGGCTGAGCTCATGCAAGGGGGCAGCACACTAGCTGAACCCAACACCCTCTCATCTGACCTCTGCCTCCAAAACTTTCCTCTGTACCCCTCTGCTCACTGTTTGTTGCATATCTTGCCACCCAGTGGTCAGATTCACTTTGGACTTTGACCACTGTACTCCACAGCCCAACCTGCTCCTACTCTGCCCTAAGAGGAAGTCAGGGGTGTTGTGCAACCTTGACACTCATGCTGTTCACAACTGACCCAGACACATATGGACTATACTGTTGTCACACACCAAAAGTGTTGTGGATATGGTTACAGCTGACTCTGCCCAACTTGTTGACAAGTTGTGTGCTATGCCATGAATGGAGATGAAGACTATAGCCCTCATGTATAGAAGGACTGCTGGACATTAGGAGTCATCCTTTGCACAAGAATGAGTCATCAGTACTAGAGAGAAAAGAGGAAGCAAGTTAAGCACCCATCAAAAGTTTTTAGCACCCATGTATGGCATTCTGGTTTTCATCACATCTCCACCATTTCCAAAGATATTGACTCCATTCTCACACTTGCTTGAAGTGCCCAGCCATGCAAACAGCACTCCATCCATCATTTTGCTAAGTCCATCAGAAATGGCCACCTCTTCATTAATCATCTTGCTTGTCTCTTTTGCCAGAGACAGTGGCTACATATATCTGCCAGGTGTTCCCACAAGCTTCTGTCCTGAAGCCCCCTGGTTCATTCCACCATTGTCATCCCTGTCTCATCCCATGCAGCTTTGTCAGCATGTTCTCCTTGTCAGTATGACTTCCAGAATGATGTTCCTTGGTTGCCTCAGGTCTGTCACATGGTTAGAGAGGTCTTATGTGGTTGTTTCAGTGTCCCCACTTAATGAAGCATATGGATCCTTCCTCCCTGCTCCATGCAATGTCTTTATTCCAATCTTGTCCATCATTCTCCCCACATTGCAACAGCTGCAGTATAATCTACTGTTCTCTGCCCTCCCTGATTGCATCCATGACAAGTATGACATGCATCTTGCCTTCTTACTGCAAGATCCAGCAGAAGATGTCCTCCCTTCTCCTTCTCCTCCATCAGAGCCCTGTTCATGAACTGTCTTGCTAACTTTTCTGAGAGGATGAATGGGTTGGAGACATGATCACCTATGCACCCATTACCACAAAGACCCACAACACCCAAGCCCTTTGATGCCTGACTCATGCCCTTCAATTCTGGAATTAGTACTCCCTGTCTGGAAATGCTGTCCATCTGTCATCCCATCTTTTGATCTAGTGATGTCTCTGCTGATATCTGACATGCATCACCACCCCCTAACGTGATATCAGTGTGCTTACTCAGTTTCTGGCATTCTTTGACTCATACTGTGATATTTTGACTGTCCTTGACTTGTTTGTTGCCAGTACTTACCAATCCTCTTTGCTTGCTTATTCATTGTGATTATTCATTGCTTACAGTCCTTACTCATTACTCACCAAGTGTCTGTGCCTTCTTTGTCATAGGCTGTGTTCCCCTACAGTATATAAACCCCCTGTACTTAGTGCCATGACCATGACATTGGCATAAGCCCCTGACACCTACTCTGTCCTCTTCCAACATGTTCCCACACTTCTCTGCCCTCTTCTGACATGTTCCTGCACTTCTCTGCCCTCTTCCAACACATTCCCACACTCCTTTGACCCTCCCAACACATCTCTGCACCTCTCTGAGGTCCCCTGTCCACATTCCAGCTGCCTTCACTCACCTGTGCCTCCTCTGAGGCCTTGGTCAGCTCAGCAGAATGTTGGACTTGCAACCCTGCATTCTAGATAGGGCTCCACCCTTGAGTTGGTTTTTCTCCATTCTTCCACTCCATTGGTATTTACCCTTTTCCCCCTCATTGTAGTAGTTCCATTGTCTCAGTTCAGGTCCCTGTCATCCCTATCATCTGTCCCTTGTGGTTGGAGGTACTGCTAACCTCTTATATGTTTATTGGTTTGCATTCTACACTGCCCCACCCTTGACCTACATTGTATATAAGGCCATGTAGTACCCTGATGTAATCAGTATGAATATTGACAATAAAGTCCCCACTTCTGACTCCCTCTGAGTTCCTTCTGGAGTTTTGTCTCCACTCCTCTGAGTCTGCTCTACCTCTGAAATACAAGCACTGAGCTCATGCAAGGGGGCAGTACACTAGCTGAACCAAATGCTCTCCCATTTGACCTCTGACTCCCAACTCTGACCCCTATTTCTAAAGCTTCCCTCCATACTCCTCCACTCCTTGTTCATCACATATCTCACCACCCAGTGGTCAGATATGCTTTGGACTTTGACTGCTGTACTCCACAGCCAAACCTGCTCCTACTCTGCCCTAAGAGGAAGTCAGGGGTGTTGTGCAACTTTGACACTTAGCTACAACAGAATCAGAAGCAATCAAGTCACTCATGAATCAAGTCAGTCAGTTCAGTGCATCTCAGACATAACTTGTTGTTGACAGTTGAGGCTCATTTGGAAGAGTCTATCTGTCATCATTCATATCCTTGGTAGTTGAGGCTCATTCAGAAGGGTCTATCTACCATCATTCATCATCTGCAGTCCTCCCCATGTTTAGTCAGCAAGTTTCATTTAGTCATCCTTTCACTCCTGTGTAACTTGTCAGCAACTTGCACCAGGAGCACATTCCATTGAAGTTCTTTACTCTAGCCAGCATCCCCCTCTCAGCCAATGTTCATTCACCCACTGCTGTGTAACTTGTCAACAACTTGTGCTAGGAACACCTACCATCAAAATTTCCTCACTTTAAATTTTTCTGCCCTCCAGGTTCTGCAGAGGTAAACCACCACTTGCACTTATTTGTCTTTGGTGTTGGTTTTGGTTGGTTTCCACCACCTTTCCACACTTTGACTTGCACTGTGTCTATGCCAACCTGCCAACTCATATACCTGATGAGTCACTTGGGAGTGTTTGCAATGCTCTGGGCCTGGACAGCTCATTTCCACCTACTTGCACCACTGACCCAGCATCTATGGGAGTTCCAGGTGTTGAAGGTGGCTGTGCACATGCAGCCACATACATATGCTCCTTTCACCAACCTCACATGCAGTATTTTGATGGCTTGGCAGTATTCAGGCACAAACCAGAAGACCAAAAGTCTGCTGCAGAACTCAACCAGCTGGCCCAGTTCCTGGCTCACCCCCTCTGCAATCCAAGGGAGCTCACCAGTTTCCACCACTTGCATGGGGCCAAACTACTTGACAAGTTCCTTGGCACAAACAACCCCTTTAAGGAAGAAAATGGATGATGTAGATCTGCTGTCATGGTTTGCCTACCAAATGAAAAGTCAAAGTGGCCATCTGAGTTGGCTGCCCCCAGAATGATTATTGATGGAGTTTGGCATCTGGACCTCATTGACATCATCACAAGTGCCTTTCAAAGCAAACAGTTCAAGACATTCCACACCATGCCATTCAGACAGCACTGGCAGGTTAGTGATGATCATGCACTTGACATACTTTCAGAAGCCTACTCCTCACTGGAAATGCTTCATGCACATGAAGACATCAATAAACTGCCTTGTGAACTGGATGGAGACCTAGAATGTGTTGCCATGTGCCTGATGCTTTGGTCAGACTCAACACACCTTACCAACTTTGGTGATGCATCAATGTGGCCATTTTATATGTATCTTTGGAACCAGTTGAAGTACCTAAGAGGGAAGCTGGCAGCCATGACATGTCACCATGTCACTTACATTCTGAAGGTATGGTAATATCCTGCTTGTTCTCCTATTCAGCCAATTACCCAGAAAAGTCAGTTTCCTGTTGGCTTCTGGGGTGCCATGCTGATGCTGTCCTAAGGGTCTTGGTGGCCAGAATCAAATTTCTCAGTATATGTGCCTGTCCACAATGTCTTGTAGCAAAAAAGTCATTTTCAAAGATGGGCATGGCACATGGTATGTGACACAGTGTCAGGCATGTTTGGATGGACAGTATTGAATAGCAGGGGTGCATCAGTTGGGCATGCAAGCTCATATTCCAGAAAAGTGCAGCTGTCAATGGAAAGCAAGTGGGATATCAACTGGACAAGTACTCCTATGTCCTGACAATGGTCAGTGCTCCATGCAAACTACATATAGAAGACTGCTGAATGGAATCTATTTAAGAATGCATTCTCTGAACACCTGCTACAGTTCATGGACAACTTTTTCCTCCTGGTGTTCCATGAATTCAAGCTTGGTGTAGGGAAGGCAATTTTCACATACCTGCTACATATTCTCTTTGCAGCAGGAGGTGACAGTATACAAGAATTCAATAGAAGGTAAGTACTTGTCTCATAATGATTCAACCAATCCCAATCTCCACTTGCATGTTTTTTACTAAATACATTCACCAGATTTCGGAACATCCCTACTTTTGGTTGCAGAACAATTCAGAAGTTTGCCCACAATGTGTCAGCCATGAAGAGGCTTGCAGCACAAGACTTTGACAGCCTAACTTTACCACAGAGGAGTATCAGGAAGCTTGTTTGCAACTTGCTAATGATGCAGTAGATGACCAACAAGCCACAAATATTCTAGCAACCCTATGTGTTCTAAACAACAACAAGGAAAAACTTAGCTGGCAAACATGCAAGAAACAAGAGGCCCAAAGAGCTTGAGATCAAGTGGAACAAGCTGGGGGAGAACTCACCAAGCAACAATGTCACAGACTCAAAGAAGCTGAGACAGTACAAGCAGAAGAATGGAAAAAGAACTGAACTGAGCACACTCTGATATGCAAAGTAGGAGTCCCCTTGGGTCCCATTAATAATCCCTCACTGTACACAGTGTGCAAACTCAAAAAGGGAAAATACTGCAAACTTTACTTCTTCACCAATATTGGCTTAGCAGAAGCAGAAACCTTCATCCCCTTGATAGATGATGAGGCCTTGACCCTACTCAAAGCCAACAATGGCCACTATATCTGGGTGCCAGCATCAACCACCAGAGATAAGTCATCTGTTATAAAGGATAAAGACCTAACTTGGGAGCAGTTTGGAGAAGTGTCTGTGTGTCTGATAAGTGCTACTCCTCTACCAGAACCAGCAGAGACAGAGATGGCATCAGGCCCTATTGACACTTAACACCTGGTCACTATGGGGATTGAACCAAGATCTACTGAATGACACTCATGGAGAAATATTGGACAGAGAACATTGCCAGGAGCTTGAGAATCTCAGAAAGGTGCAGAATACATGCATTCCCAATGACACTCAGACTAACCTCACCTTCTGTTTTCTGCTCCCCTTTCCCCTCACCCCCTTTTTTCTCTGGTTTCATTACCTATACACACTAACTCCCTGGAATAACATCTGCTGATCAACTACTTGGTTTATTACAACCCCCCTCTCATACCTGGCATTACATCTGTTGATCCCTCTGCATGTGAGTATCATCCATCTTTCTCCATTTCTATTGCCATCTAATCCATGGTTCAGAGTGCATTTTCAGAGTGGCTAGCTCAATTCAGCCTCAACATTTACATATTCCCTTCTTGTTCCCAACCTTCTTCATGAGTTCAAGCTCAGTGTCTGGAAGGCTGTGTTCACACATTTAATATGGATACTGTACACACTTGGAGGTGATAGAATACAGGAGTTGAATAAACAGTAATAACTAGTTCAGTGCTTATACTTGTGCCATCTGAATCATATGTACAGATATTGACAGATCCCTACATTCAGTTGAGATACCATCTGCAAATTCAGTGTTAACTTATCAGTGATGAAAAAACTTGCTGCACATGATTTTCAAACCTCCTGCAGGTATGTTTGTTTTTGCTTTGCTTTGAATGGTGACTGACATGCTATGATCCTTGCAGTGCTCCATTCCTGTCTTTGAGGGTCTACTTCCCCCTCCATATAACAACACAATAATGGACCTTTCTTTTCAAGCTGGCAACATGGCACACACTCACCAAGTTATGCCTCCATATTGACACAAGTCTTCACTTCCTCAATAGCTCAATGACAAGGCTTGGATGCCTCTTCCATCACTTCAAAGTGCTGTATGTGATCAAATTGCAATGAAAGACTTACCATCTGAGGAGGCTGCATGCAGTCAATGCACAGCTTCATCAGCTGCAAGAGCTCAGGGAGATGGAAATGCAAGGCCTGCTACAGCACAGACTGGCCCACAACAGTGAACCTTCAAACTTTCAACACACAAACTACATGCCTTGGGAGACTACATAGCATCAATTCAGCTCTTTGGGACTACAGTTTGTTAATTCACTGACACACTGAACACTTATCATCTTCATCTTTGCTTTTTTGCACTGAAGTCCCTTATCCTTACAAAACAGCTCTTGTCCCTCCATGCTGCCTACCAAGAATCAGAATCACATTGATTGCCCAAATACACTCAGTCACTTCTACGATCAGCTCATGGTGGCACAAGTCATGCAGGTGAAGAGGGCACTCAGCCAACACTTCTCAGGAGAGGCATTCAAGGGGGAGCTGAGAGTATACTGTTCCCAAAGTTGTAGATGCATATCTCAACACAGACAAAGAGGTGTTGACAAAATGGTGTTCTGAGGTTGTGGGTCAAACTGTTTGATATAAGGATGCACCATTCATTCATTTGATGAACAGACTTAAACTGTGCTGTGTGCAACAATGGAGCAATACCTTCATCAGGGACTGCATCAGCAATAGCAAGGTCTTGGACATCTGTCAAGTTGACACACCCCTTCCTCACTCCTGCTTGGTTTATGATGTCATACTTATTTATCCCCAGCTCTCCAATGCCAAACTTCTGGAGAACAAAGTTCCTGTGTTTGTGGTGGCATTTTCAATACAAGAAATTACAAGAAATGCTCCTCTTTTGGAACCCTGATACAGCCAAGTATATTCTATGTCACTGTGGCAAGCCTGTTGTGCTTGTTTGGCATGTCATAGGTTGTACAGATAAAATTTACCGGCCATAATCTTTGTTAATATACTGCGCCACTTCGCGACACAACTCTCCAAGCACCATTTCTGGTGTTTTCTCAGCAACCTTTTTGTTATATTCCTCAACAATCCCTTCAAGCTGTTCAGTAGTCTCTGATTTTTCACCTTGCGCCTTTGACAGAGCAAGCCTTTTCCCAATGATGAAATCATTACGGGCATTGAGCCTCTGCCCAAGAAATTTCGCGAGCGTCAACACAAGAGCGAGGTTGTCGATGTTGTCAGGCACTCCAGTGACAGCGGCAGACAGGAAATTCTTCTTCAATTCAACGCATTCACGGGCATTGACATTGCCCCATGAATCCAGGGGTCCAGGTTCTAGCGATATGCCGTCCTTGTACTGCAGGGAAATCCAGATGAATACCCAGATGAACGATTCCATATCATGGCGGTATTGGTGCTTCACATTGCCATTCTGACCACCTTCCTCGAGGAGATCGATCGCCACGAACGGTGTTGTTCCAGTCCACTCGTCATCCAACGGGTTGGGAGAACTTGCCAAAGACGAAAGGTCGTAATCGTTTAGGACGCCCATCACCTTGCCGCCCACCTTATAGTACATCAGGTTTGCGCAGCTCACATCACGATGATGAATCCCGTCATTCCAGAGGGCATAGTGACCTAGAATAGAATGATTGTCAGAACCAAGGCACCGCAAAAACAAAGTGGGACTTACACAAAACACATTGCCACCATGCGTCAACTAGTTGGTCGCCTTTGAGCTCGTTGATTGGCGAAAGCTTCTTGAACACGAGCAGGACGAGCGTCCGGCTGCCTTTCTCAGGGTTCGTGAGGCCAAGAGCCCTCCTAATTGTATGGGTGGAATACCGAAACCTCTTCGACAAGACCAAGGTCGGCACGTGTCCTTGGGCGTGCCCCTCATTCTTCGCAGTATTCTCGACGCATTTCAAAATTCCTTCCTCTTTATTTCGTGCCTCCTCCGCCCAGTAAATTTTCGCCACCATGGCGTCGGCCGTCGTTTCCGTCGGCTTCTCCAGCTTTGGTGAATCGCAGGTGACGTCCATAACGCCAGTCCCACGTCCTCCCAGCCCAATCCGGGCGCGTCTCTTCCAGTTGTGCAGTGTCAGTATTTTTCTTTCGACCTCGGTAGTGTGAGACTTGATGTGGTCCCCTTCTAGATTCGGTTGAAAAGCTGTGTTTCGACCCCAGTCCTCCAAATTGAATCGCTGGAGAGCGTATAACAGCACCAGAAAGCGAGGGAGATCCTGAACAAAATTGAACCCTGCCACGCTGATGTGGCCTTGATGGTCGTAATACCAAATCCATATGTCGTCGCCTGAAAGGCGTCCAGCGCAATCCGCTCACAAGCGAGAAAAAATACGCACCTATAACAATACAATTGAGGGCATGCTTCACCGCAATATTGGCGGACTGCATTTCAGCAGCGTACAACGCTGTCTGGATTGTTACGTGTGCCAGGGGCTCCTCGGTCCTGGACCGCTTGCTTGCGCGAGACTCAGGCTCGGCCCTCAATAGGTGTTTCCTGGGTGCCACTTGAGCGCTTTCAGAAGTGATGTCGCGAACTGATCTGCATGTTAAACCTGACTGAACAGTGTAGTGCCATTACTTACGCAGACCCTGTCCTGCGAGTGTCGCTCGCTTGGCAACAGGAGCCTCTTGCGGCTCAATTTCTTCCAGTTCATTTCCATCTTTGCCACTCTTCAAAAACTTTGGGTTGGAAGGTCGGTAGTCGGACACGATGTATTTCGCGGGAGGAGAACTCATTGCCGACTTGGGTCGCTTGAACTCGAAGACGCCGAGCACATCCTTCCACGAGCTCGCCGTGGGTGCCTTACCTGGGCCTATCGTCGATACATGGTCGCCCCAGTCGCTGGCTCCAGTCCTCGCGAATGGAATAACGACGATATCTGGTTTGCGTTTTGAAATATGAGAGATGACCTCTGGATCGTTGCGCTGAAAGAACATCTGTACTTCCGCGCTTTCCCCTTTACGCATACCAACGATATCTAGCTCCCGCAGGTACGCAAGAGCAGTGTTGGACGCCTGGACAAAGGGCTGGTACAAGTCATCCTCCTGTTCATACGCCGTGCTGGTACAAGACGTTAGCAAAGAACACTGACATCAACACCAGCACGCAAGTCACGAAACTTACTATTCTACGAGAGCCTTTTTGATCTTCGAGACCGGGAATCCGTTGATATCTTTGACCTCCTCATTACATATGCCCAGAACCTGCGCCATGCATCTGCCCAATAGGGTATAACTGTCCAAGTTCTCAAGGTCATCTGGCGTCTCCGAAGCACGCCTCAGCATGTACTCGAGCATTTTGTCTGCCTCGCATTGCTGTGCTTTGTGGACGTCTTCCGTGGCCGAACGTATCGCATCGTTAATACTTGGTTGTTGTCATGAATCAGGTTTATCTCGATGAAGACAAAAGTGGACGAACGCACCGAACGCCGTGGACATGGAGCTGTCCGCTCGCCGCAGAGAGGTCTCGGTTGCTTGCAGTCGATTGACCCAGGCTAGCATCTGGAGTTGTGCGTGAGGATGGCGGAGAATGACTTTCCACTGCTGCGCCGCTGGGACCAGGCATGGTCACTGGCAGGTGAAGATATAGAACAGGAGTCGCGTTAGATGGGCACTAGTGCTGTGTGGTGATGGGAGCCTGGAGGTTGACGTTGAACGTTGAGTACTGAGCGTCTAGAGTCGTGCCACCTCATCGCTGCTAAGTACATCTCCTGTTCGGCCGTCTCGGAGATCCAAATTTAGTTCACACTGTCCATTACAGCTGTAATGGTCATTCCTGTTGTCAATTTCCTCGGTTATTGACTAGTGCCATGCACGAAATGATGGTGGCGCACACAATCTGTAGGTCCTCTCCAACTTTGGCGGAACAAAAGAATTCTGCAGTTATGCAGGCTGCCTATAATACACTGCACAGCATGTCAGCAGAACAATAGAATGCACAAGAAACACGAGGTGTTCTTAGTGTTATGCAGAGTACCCACTGGTACACACAGAACACAGGAGTGTGTCAACAAACAAAAAGGATGCACTCAGATAGATAAAACTATATCTGTGTGTGTGTGTTGTTGGACCTGAGGCTATGGCCAGCCCCCTGGTCCTAATTTGCTGTACACCTAACACATCATGCAACTGTACAGCCCAGTTTATTCTGATGAACAGATTGCTAATGTGGAAAAATGTACCTCAACAAAGGAAATGACATACTAGTAGTGGGTTAGCCTCTGAGTCTTCAACTTCAGCACACAAAAGGAACACTCATCTTGATTATCCACAGTCAGTGCAAGGATGAGTTGAAGAGTTGGCATAAGGTGAATGATTCAAGCAAGTATGTAACTTGACTTGCACCTCACTACTGCAAATCAGTAGCATGGGTACTATAGAATTAAGAAGCCTCAGCAGATTCATAACAACAAGTTGTGGGTGTGGAGGGTATGGTGTTACAATTCCATACAGGTATCACTGCAAAAAAAAAACAATGAGAATGGGTATAACAATGCACAACTAATAGTGGCAGGCAATTGATAGAAGCATGACATGTGATGATGAGCTTGGTTGGCATCATATCTTAAACTTTCTTGCACAGCAAGGGGAGCAGAACAATGATTGATACTTGCACAGAACAGGCAAAATGGAAGAACAGTATATGCCAGAACTAAGCTTATGTGAAAATGGACTGGTGTTTCCAAATAACAGGGTGACACAGCAAGGGACACAGTGACATATCATTCAAAGTGAACAGTGAAAGGCATAATGACTGTGTGTCAACAGCAAAAGTTTTCATGTAAGATTGCACTCTATGGGAAATTTGACCAGGAGATCATTGTATTGCTTGAAGGTTCTGTGCCACCCAGACCAAGCTTGAGTACATCCACACTTGAGACATGCATAGGCTGTTCAATGGGTGAGGCCTTTCATAGGTTTAACAAATACCCATACAGGGACCAACCCTATATCTTGTTGGGCTCCCTCAGCAGTGGAAGTGATGGATGATTGGCATGGACAAGAATTATCCCTGATGACAAGACACCAGCCATCATTGAAGGATTCAAAAATAGCAGGATATTTGCCCAATCACATCAAGGGGAGTTCATCAGATAGGTCAGGATTGAAGAGTTGACAGACAGGTCAGGCATGCAGGAGGGCTGATATAGCACTGCCAGCACTGAAAAAAGATGTGTGTGATTGCAAAAAGGATGGGTGAGCAATGGGGAATGGGCAGAGTGAGTGGATACATGGCTAAGTCAGAAGTGGGCAGGGTTTAGAGATATGCACATTTGTATGGGGGGGTCAAAGATGGTGGTAGCTTGCAGCTGTACAAAGGAAGTGGGCATCTCAGGAGGCATCCTCCTTACCAAACACTCCATGCATCCTTATGAACTCAAACTAACCTACCCCTACCCTGTGCTTTAGCCCACCCTGCCCTTCATGCTTCTCTAACAAGATGATGGTGGACAGTTTGGACACCAACAAACTCCCATGATGAAGTCAACAAAAATCCCTTTGAAAAAACTGTGCTTTTCAGAAGTTGGGGCACCATCATATTGAATTGTGACAGAAACTCAGACCAGTGTGCCTGGCACCAGGCCAATACCTTTGAGGTGGAAAAGTACTCCAGGTTCTTATGATCAGTGACAATGTAAACCAGTATTGCAAAGCCTTCCAGGTAATGCTGCCATGTCCAGAATGCCTCAAAGATTGCAAGTAACTCCTTTTCATGGGTGTCATAATTTAACTCTGGGGCTGTTACAGCTGTTTGCAAAACAATGCAGAAAATCTGTTTGGTGATTAGTCTGTTCAGATATAGCTGGGATAGGACCCCGAAACCACCTCTATGGTAATAGTGTGTACTGTAAGCACATACTTAGACTGTCCCTATGGCAGACTTGTTTTTCAACATGTCATTGCTGTTGCAATCCCCCATTCCCAATGCAGAAAAATTACATTCTTTCACAATTTCACTTTCTGTCTATGGACTCAAGAAAAAGGAGAAGGGAAAGACTGCCCCAAAAGCAACCATGAAGACAAAAGAGCTTTAACCATTTTCATTCCTCCTATCATTTTCAGCTATCAAGCTTGTCAGCCCTTGCCCCTGTATTTTTAGCTCTTCAAGTCATAGCTTTGGGCCTTTCAGCATTTTTTGGGCTTTTTCATTCTTGTTGTTTTCTCAGCTACAAATCTGTATTTCTAGTGATACTTTTGAGTCTCCTTGTAGCACTGCCCTAGTCACCAATGATCCTGTACTTATCCAAGTCAGCATGCTTACTCACACTCCAACACTATTTGTACCCCATCTTCACCTTGAGTGCCTCAACCCATTAGTAGTGTACTATGGTAAACAGACAGTAGCTACCCACTAAGGTACTTCTGGGGTCCTATCCCAGCTATATCTGAACAGTCTGATGGTCAAACAGATTTTCTGCATCATTTTGCAAACAGCTGTAAGGTGTGAGAGTAGAATGCAACCAGCTGGATTTGACCATCACCACCAGTGATGGACAAAATGCTGGCTATGGTATAGTCAGACACATCAGTCTCAACAGTAATAGGAGCATCCAGGGAGAAATGAGTTAGGACTGGGGCAGAGGTGAAGGCCTGCTTGAGTTTGTTGAAAGACCAGTGGCACCCCTCAGAGAAATTCCAGGGAGCACCTTTGCATGTCAACCAGGTTAGAGGTACCACTATGTCTGAGTAGTTAAAAATGAACTGGCAATAAAAATTGGTGAAGCCCAGGAAGGACTGAATGTCCTTTACCTTCCAGGGTTCAGGCCAGTCACAGATGGCTTTGACTTTTCTGAGGACATGGTATGGCCAGTCAAGGACAAGTGGTAGCCCAGATATTCCACAGAGTCCGAGTGGAATTCACACTTCTCCAGTTTAGCATATAGGCCATGCAACTGGAGCTGGCAAAGAACCTCCCAGACATGCTGCTTGTGTGAAGACTCATCTCTGGAGTAGATCAGGATGTCATTGAGGTAGACAATGATGCAGACATCTAGCATATCTGCAAAGATTGTATTGATGAACCATTGGAAGGTGGCCAGGGCATTGGTAAGACCGAAAGGCATCACCAACCACTCATAAGACCCATGGCACATTCTAAAGGCTGTTTTCCACTCATCTCCAGGTGCAATCCAGACAAGGTGGTATGTGTGCCTCAAGTCAATTTTAGTGTAGATTTTGGTGTGACTAGGGGAGTCTAGTAGGTCAGATATTAGTGGTAGGGGGTACTGGTCTTTCTTGGTGAGCTTGTTAAGGCCCCAGAAGTCAACACATTACTGGAGTGAACTGTCCTTCTTCACAAAGAGGACTGGTGCAGCATAAGGGGAAGAAGTGGGCTGGATGAAACCAGTGGTCAGGTTTTTGTCAATAGGTCAGCTCAATGTCTGAGGAGCTTCATGTGTTTCTCACATGTTTTTTTGGTGAGTTTCCAGCTGAGAACCTGGAGATTGAAACTCTGATTGAACTTTGGCCAAGTTTTGTAAGTGAACCACTCACTTCTCACTGTTCACTCGACATAGTGATGGCCCCAGCAATTGGGCCAGGCTCTGCTGGTCTCCCATCATTGCAATCTGCCAAATCAGTTGCAAAGCAGCCAAATATTCAGATTCAGTGGGAAAAGGCACACTGCATGAACCAATCACCTTATTGGATGGTGTAAAACTCACAAAGCAGCTCACAAGAAGCTCTTTTCTGATTCTACACAGGATGTTCCAGAGGAAGGTAGAAGTAAGCAGCAGTTGTGCCATGGGAAGAATGACATATATGTGGAGATTGCAAAGGAAATTTTTTCAGCAGGCAATGAGTCTGTTGAGATCCATGCCCTTGCTCAGGACAACCCATGTATATTCACTGGTCTGATTTGAAGTCATCTTGATGTGTATGTTTCTCCCCTCCTCCCCCCTTTTTTTGCTATTTTCACTTACAGAGTTTGCAGCTTGAAGCAGAAATATCAGAAATATATTGCATTGCTTGGGCAGACAGGTGCTGGTCAGACTTATGACAATCTTGCAAGCAACACAAGCATGAAAGCTATTAGGCATGCTCAAAGTTGGGCAGTGTTTGCACTGTGTGATGCACCAGATGCACCACACTGCACTGCAACCTCCCTTTCTGACTAAATATGGTAACTTATCTAAATGTGTGTACTAACATTTCATCAGTTTTGCAAAATCCAAATACTATATCTCAGAACTACACAACCACACCAGTAAATAATACACAAAGTACACATGTACATATAGAATGATGCATAAAGAAACTTCTGATAAAAAAGAGAGTAATATGTGAGGTGTAGAAGCTGCCAGAGAGGTGCCAGTTTGGATGATGAAATGACAGGGTTGCAAAATGTTTGTCACATTGTGTCACATCTTGCATTGTAACTCCAACCACTGTGAGTCAAAGTGTGGAAAGCTGGTGAAAACCCAACAAATCCAACACCAAAGACAAATAATGTGCAAGTGGTGGTTTTCCTCTGCAGAACCTGGAGTGCAGAAGAAAATCTAATGTGGGGGGGGGGACTTCAAGTGGAGGTGCTCCTGGCACAAGTTGTCATTGAGTTACACAGGTGTGGATGGATGACTAAGCAGGTGTGCTGACAAAGCACAGATGATACTTCAGATAATGAATGAAGGTAGATAGACCCTTGATGGAGCCTCAACTACCTAGGATGATGAATGGGGATGGTTAGACTCTTCCAAATGAGCCTCAACTGTCAATGATGAGATATGCACTGAACTGACTTCTGGACTGCTTCTTGATTGCTTGTGGATTGTAGCCAAGTACACAGGGTTTTATATACTGTGGGGGGGGAACAGCTTGTGACAAACAAGGCACAAATGCTTGGTAAGTAATGAGTAAGGACTGAGCAATCATGATGAGTAAGCAAAAAATGAAAAGTAAGCATCCTTCTGGAAGTCATACTGACAAGGAGAACATGCTGACCAAGCTGCATGGGATGAGACAGGGCTGACAACGATGGGATGAACCAGGGGGCTTCAGGACAGAAGCTGGTGGGAATGCCTGGCAGATATATGTAGCCACTGTCTCTGGCAAAAGAGACAAGCAAGATGATTGATGAAGAGGCAGCCATGATTGATGGACTTAGCAAAATGAGCATCTGATGGATGGAGTGCTGTAGAAATGCATAGGGTGTGAGGATCCTCTCCAAATTTGGAAGGAAGAACTGCATGGCTGAGCACTTTAAGCAAGTGTGAGAACAGAGTTGATATCTTTGGAAATGGTGGAGATATGATGAAAACTGGAATGCCATAAATGGGTGCTAAAAACCTTTAATGCATGCTTAACTTGCTTCCTCTTTTCTCTTTAGCACTGACAACTTGTTCTTGTGCAAAGGATGACTGAGAGGATGTCAGCTTGTGCAGAGGATCATGAGCATCAGTTGCAAATGCAATGCAAGCTGCATGTGCATGAGCAAGCGATGGTGGCTCAGGAGATCAAGAAGATGAAGCTTGTGGTTCAGCTGGAGCAACTGTGTGTTCAGAATTTTGCATTGCAGAAAGGCATTGCAGGTGGTGAGGACCAAGGTACTTCATCTGATGGTCAGAATGTTCACCTCACCCTCTGAATACAGTATATGGTTGTTTTCTTTTAATCATCTAGCATTCTAGCATTCCCCCCCCAGCATACAATTCCCTTCCCCCCCCCCTTCATCCCCTCCCCTGCTAGTATATACAATGTAGACCATGGTATATACTAAAAATGAATTCTGTGAATGTTGTCTGTGTCATACTTGCTCAGAACAAAGTAAAGTAAAAACAAAATATATTTACATACTCAAGAATGTGTTACACCTGGACACTGAAACAACCACATAAGACCTCTCTAACCATGTGACAGACCTGAGGCAACCAAGGAACATCATTCTGGAAGTCATACTGACAAGGAGAACATGCTGACAAAGCTGCATGGGATGAGACAGGGATGACAATGGTGGAATGAACCAGGGGGCTTCAGGACAGAAGCTTGTGGGAACACCTGGCAGATATATGTAGCCACTGTCTCTGGCAAAAGAGACAAGCAAGATGATTAATGAAGAGGTGGCCATTTCTGATGGACTTAGCAAAATGATGGATGGAGTGCTGTTTGCATGGCTGGGCACTTCAAGCAAGTGTGAGAATGGAGTCAATATCTTTGGAAATGGTGGAGATGTGATGAAAACCAGAATGCCATACATGGGTGCTAAAAACTTTTGATGGGTGCTTAACTTGCTTCCTCTTTTCTCTCTAGTACTGATGACTCATTCTTGTGCAAAGGATGACTCCTAATGTCCAGCAGTCCTTCTATACATGAGGGCTATAGTCTTCATCTCCATTCATGGCATAGCACACAACTTGTCAACAAGTTGGGCAGAGTCAGCTGTAACCATATCCACAACACTTTTGGTGTGTGACAACAGTATAGTCCATATGTGTCTGGGTCAGTTGTGAACAGCATGAGTGTCAAGGTTGCACAACACCCCTGACTTCCTCTTAGGGCAGAGTAGGAGCAGGTTGGGCTGTGGAGTACAGTGGTCAAAGTCCAAAGTGAATCTGACCACTGGGTGGCAAGATATGCAACAAACAGTGAGCAGAGGGGTACAGAGGAAAGTTTTGGAGGCAGAGGTCAGATGAGAGGGTGTTGGGTTCAGCTAGTGTGCTGCCCCCTTGCATGAGCTCAGCCCTCATATTTCAGAGGTAGAGCAGACTCAGAGGGAGTGGAGATGAAACTCTGGGGGGAACTCAGAGGAGTCAGAAGTGGGGACTTTATTCAATATTTGTACTGATTACATCAGAGTACTACATGGCCTTATATATGATGTAGGTCAAGGGCAGTGCAGTGTAGAATGCAAACCAATAAGTGTATAACAGGTTAGAAGTCCCTCCAACACAAGGGATAGAGGATAGGGATGATGGGGACCTTAACTGAGAAAAGGAAACTACTACAACCAGGGAAAGAGGGTAAATACTGAAGGAGTGGAAGAATGGAGAAAAACTGACATGAGGGCAGAACCCTATCTGGAATGCAGGGCCACAAGTCTGACAGCCCACTGAGCCAACCAAGGCCTTGGAGGAGGCACAGATGAAGGTCTGGCCTCCACATGACCAGCCTGAGGGTGGAGTTGAGTGGAGTTGGTTGGAACATGGACAGGGGACCTTGGAGAAGTGTGGAGATCTGTTGGGAGGGTCATAGGAGTGTGGGAATGTGTCGGAAGGGGGCAGAGAAGTGTGGGAACATGTTGGAAGAGGGTGGAGTAGGTGTTAGGGGCTTATTCTGATGTCATGGTCATGACAGTATCCCCCCCTTAGGGCCTGAACCCCTGAAGCCCATAGCAAAGCTATGACAGAGGTGAGTAAGGTCCAGGTTTGTGAGAATAGTGAGCATGGAAAGCAGCCAACAACTTGGAAGCATGTTCTAACTCCATTGCCAGCACCCAAGAGGTTTCATCATCAGTGTTCTCATAGCCCCCCCAATGGCCTAGATACAGTAGCTGACAGTGGTGGTGGTGGTGGTCCACCTTTGAGTTGAGGATCTCTGAAATCTCATACTCAAGGTCACCATCCTCAACAGGTGGAGGTGGAGGTTGGTGCCAATCAGGGAAGGGGTTTGGAGTGGCAGGTTCTAACTGCAACAAGTGAAAGACAGGGTGGATGGCCCACATTGCATCAGGTAAGTGGAGGGTGATGGAGTGCATACCAGGCCTAGCTATGATAGCATAGGGGCCCAAGTTCTTCTCTGCAAGTTTGGCCAAAGGGCAGGTGGAGCAGAAGTACTTGGCCTTGACATAAGCCTGGTCACTGACTTTTAACTCTGGTGGTGGAATGCATCTAGCATCAGCCAGACCTTGATAGTGGAGTTGAGCAGCAGCCATCTCAGTGTGGAGGAAGTCATGCAGGGCAGAAAGCTCCACAACATAGTTATGGGCCTTTGGAGAGGTGAGATTGCAGTCAGAGTAAACCAACAAGTTTGGGTGGTATCCCTTATTAGCCAAAAAGTGAGAGACTCCAGTAGTAGCACTCAGTGCATTATTAGAAGCAAACTCCACTAGTGGGAGTAACTCTGACCAATTGTCTTGCTGATAGTTACAGTAGGTGTGGAAGTATTGCTCGAGGGTCTGATTCATGCACTTGGTTTGGCCATTGCCTTCCAGGTGGTAGCCTGATGTAAAATGAAGGCACATATCTAGGGCCTTTCTGAGGGAGCAGAAGAAGTGTGACACAAATTCTGGACCCCTGTTGGAGGTGACATGAGTGGGTACTCCATGCTTGGAAAAGATGTGGGTAAGGAAGAGGTGGGAATGAACATGGTCTGTTTAGAAAGGCAGTCTACAACAACCAAGATGGCAGAGTAGCCTGCAGAGTTGGGGAGATGTTCAATGAAATCCATGGAGATGGAGTTCCATGGCTTCTCAGGGATGGGAAGATGCTTCAGTAGGCTGAAGGGGCAGTGATGTGGGACCTTGCTGTGACCACAAGTGGTGCAGGACCTGACATTGTTGTTTACATCAGTGTGGAGGTTAGGCCATACATACTCATAGCAAACAAGTTCTACAGTGTGGGTCTGCCCAAAGTGACCTGCAAGCAGATGGTCATGCTTAAACTGAAGCACTCAGAGGCAGAGGCCATCAATGTCAGGGACAAAGATGTGGCCATTGAGGTGGAGGAGGCCCTCATGGTCTAATGACCAGCAGAGGTCTGTCAGAGTTGGGAGATGGGAAGTGGAGATGGGGTCAGAGGGCAGTGCAGAGATGATGTCAGCATGGAGCTGCTCAACATCAAAGATCATGGTGGCTTGGAGAACAGGGGCCAAGAGGTGGGTAGTATGGAGGGACAAAGCAAACTGTTCCTGGGTAAACACAGGGTGGAGGTTATGAGGGTTTACCTGCATGTAGTCCTTATCCCCCTCTTTTGGGTAAACATCCCAGTGGTGGGTAAGTTTGTCAGGCTTGGCTCCAAGGCAGCCAGGGCAGAAATGGATGGCTAGATTGAACTGGGAGAGATACTCCAACCAATGAGCCTGATGGCAGCTTAGG